ACTAACATTAATTGACTGTGAGCTATTGATCTCCGTCGGTCCAAATGATAGAATTGAACGGAGTTTAAATAATGTAATTATAGTAGCACCACATTCTTTTATGATCTGACCACATTTTAATTTCAAAGAAGGTCCTCAATATGTGCTCATTTTTGCACTTACGTCCTCAATTTTTTCATCACATTTTTACCATTAATGATTAATTAGCACATATTGTAATTGATGATAAATTTTGTTTAAATATTCTACTAACGTACAGAGAAATGAAGATATGTATTTTATCGAATTTGTATATTTGTTGTTTATTTTGGTTATTTACAAATACAGAAGGTAAATAAGTCTTTTTATGCTCACTTAACAGAATTTTTTGAACGAAAATTGTCACAAAAGACAAAATGTGCAAATGAATAGAATGTTGATGGTAAGAATTTGATGAAAAATGGAGCAAATAAGTGCGAAATGAGCAAGTGCTAAGAACATTCATTGTAATTAAAATGTAGCGTAGTTAATGAGTATATTGTGGTATGAATATAATTTTTTTTCAATTAAATATTATTTTCTTGATATTTAATTTATGAGAAAATTATTTCTTCAATTCCATCTGGTAAGAGTTGTACTCTCATTCCTTTAATCTCAAATCCGATATATTGAACAATATATAAATTCACTATCATTGATCGAGATTCATTTCATGTGGCCCATCAAATTTATTGCTTGTTTTGGAGAATTATAATGAGATTATGCATATGTTTGAGCCACATTAAAATTTTCATTCGCATTATTCTGCTCATTTTCAATCACATATTTTTCAATAAAATAATATTTTTCATCACATCAATAACTGTTCATTCTTTTTCAACCACACATTCTCCATCAATCTTCCATTTCAAAATGCATTCTTTCAAAATAATGTGGCTCAAACACAATTCTGCTCATTTTCAATCACATATTTTTCAATAAAATAATATTTTCCATCACATCATTAACTTTTCCTTCTTTTTCAACCACACATTCTCCATCAATCTACTATTTCAAAATACATTCTTCCAAAATAATGTGGTTCAAGCACACCCTATACTGACAAAGAGTAGTGGGTCCCACGAAACGTGTTAATAATAAGTAGATAGAAGTTATAAATACATAGTTAAATTAATATTTGATTTTGATCTGTAAATTATAATGAAATTATAATTTTTCCCAGACAAGCAAATAGGCCCTACAAGGGAAATGGAAATTTCAGGTTTTACTTTTATCACTATCCTCTTGGCAGCAAATAACATCAAAGGATTCTTCAAATGATCATTTAGTGTAATGGTGTTTACTTATAATCAATAAAATGGTGACATTTGGGGAGGGATGGAACTCTTTAAAAACAAAGAACCCCAGCCTCAATGATTGTGCTATGGCAAAAATTTTAGAGAGGTGTCCTCAATTAAAATTTAAAAAAATTATAAATTTTAATGAATTTGAATAGATTTCTACAAAATTTATAAGAACCTCATTAAAAAGGGTGAAAATTCAAGGGAGTTTGTTACGAGTATTTTTAAGCTTGAAATTCCTTATAAATTGAGAGTTATTGGGGACACCTAAATTAATTTAGTGGATTTTAGCCTTCTCTATCGGTATATTTAGAATTTATAAGGACTTTTAAAATACACTAAATTTTCAATTGTCGACACCGTGTTAGGCTTTGCACTTTGATATTATTGCTTATGTGGCAAGATTCTTTCCTTTGACATCGAATGAAAGAACACTATTATCATAGTTGTGGTCTTTGCGATTAAAGTTGACCTAAGTTCTCACTTCCTTATCCGGATCAGCAAACAATTTTGGCATGTTTCGTGGAGAATTTGTATGTACATGGAATCTGTACATATAGCTTGGCAGAATGTCATATGATATTCTGTCATTTGACATTGCTAAAAAAATACATTGTCGGCAGTCAATCCAGTGCTGCTCACGCTATAAGTAGTTTAATCCTTTCTTATCTAGATGTGAGACATGGCGTTTTCTCCGAGGAGCATAAGTGGACCTTTTAGAACATTGACGGATAGGATTAACCTTATAATGGATGCATCAGTTGAATATACAACCTGTAATTTTGATTCCTAAGAAACTGATATTCTTTTCATAATTAATTGCAGTAGTTGTTTAATGTATGTGCATGTATATTTTTTTATCAAATTAAAGTTTATTGGCAATTAATATATGTAAAAATTAATAAGGGTCTACTACAATCATACGAATTATGAAATATTGGGAATTTATCTTCCAGGATACATTTGACTTCATCTTCGACTTGACGAGGATGATATAACTTATTTCTATGTCGCATTTACACCTGAAACTTGTATGTCTTGATCCTGACGAGAAGAAATGCCACGAATCTGTGTAAACGTATAAATCGTGCCTGTGAAGGACAAAATGAACCCGACGGACCATACCACGGCATAGACAATTGAACGATGTATAAAACTGGTTACGGCCATGAACAACAAGAATGCTGTAAAGAGGAAGAGGATTGTTAATGACAAATTAGCCTAATGAAAATAATGTATAATACTAACACACACACACACACACACACATATATTCGTACTTAAATTTATTTATTTACATTTATATGTATGTGTATAGGAGTCCATAAGAATAATAAATGATACTAATGATAAAATATTTAACAGACTGAGAATCATCCTGAAAAAGGGATGGGAGCCTCGTGTTGGGGGTCCACTCTAAGGTGAAAATAAGTTAATACGAAGAAGATAATATGTAAACATAAAAAGTAGAGTAACTGAATGATGTAAAAATATCTCTAACATTTTTCCTTTCAAAAGGAGGGCTACATATATCCGAAAAATAAAATTTTCTTTAGTTCAAAAATTCAAGATCGTAACTAGATGTTTATGTATATGTTATAATCAAGAAATATAGAATTGAAAATTTACTCAATTTGATGATCAATTCTTGAACTGGATCTAAATCACAAATCTCTAGCTTTCCAGATCACGAACTTCCAATTTTTGATTCGAAGAACTTGATACTTGTAATCCTCTATTGTACTCTTCAAAGTTCAGGACTACACCGACGAGTGAAAACATTCTTTTAATTAAATTAAAAATCAAAAATCGAATTCTAGACTGGATGGACCAAGAAGAGATCACAAAAAGAAAGAAAGAAATTTTCAGATTTTCTCTTTTTTCCGTTGTGAATTTTCAAGCCCTTCAGATGTCCATTTACAGGCAAAAATTCAATCTCCAAAGCCATGTCAAATCAGACCTCAATTTGGTATATTGGTAGGTTATCATTAATATGAGTTTTGCTATGTGACATCCCAGTGTACACCCCCTCACAAGAGAGGGGCCCGCGATTGTGTACAAACAGCAAAACCTCATTAATATACAGTGAAGGCGGAGTCCTCGACAGTTGTGAACGGAGGTAGTTAGTGGCAGTGACTTATGGTGAAGGGAAGAAAATGAATGGGTTTGAGACGAGGTGGTCTTTTTCCTATTGTCGTATTCTTGAGGGTTTCTGTGAAATTTACTTATTTATGTATTTTTGATATTTTTTGTTTTCTATTTATTTAAAGTGAATGGCGAAGTTATCTTTTTACACGATCTTAACATTCAAATTAAACGGAATCCGTCAACAGGGATACGATTTGCAATTAAGTGAAATGATAGGGATGTCAAATGTTAAAAAAAGATTGATGATAGATTAGTAACATATTGCAAATGTTGTAGATGAAAAGTGCAAATTTCCCTAATTAAAAAAAAAAAATGCAGTAAAACCACAAAAAACAAGGAAAAATTGCATTAGTTTATGTTTAGTGTGTTTAATACGCAATAGATACTGAATACACGATTATACAAAACATTAAGGGCGTGTTTGGTAGAGATTAAAATCGGATTAAAATTGAAAAAATAGCCGTTATGGTTGACTTTTATTAGACGAGTGAGATTCAATAATGACTATATTTTCAATTTTAATTTGATTTTGAGTTGTACCAAACAAGCTCTAAAAGCACTTTTGGTTAAACCTTAAAATTGAGCAAATTTAAGTGAGAACACCCCTTTTAAAATACAATCTTTTATCACTAAAATTCCACACAATGTCAATCTTTAATAAAGTGTGACATGTTTGAAAAAGAACTTATTAGGGTTTGAATTTCCATCTTAAAATGTCAACTAGCTAAGTGTAGCTTAAATTCTTTTATATTAATTCATTTTTAATATTTAACCAAAATGAGAGTATAAGATGGTAATTCATTTGAGAACAACAATCTTAAAAGCAGATGATTCGTTTTAGTTTTAGACAGATCAAATGACTCGTTTGAACATTATAAACTTTGATATTATATTATAATTTGAAGTCCGACAAAGAATAGTTCAATCCCTTTTATGTTACTTCATACTTTTATATTTAACCAAAATGGGATTACTTTTAAATCTTAAGCTTAATGGTTTGTTTTGAGTATACTTAGTTTCATTTTAAGCTAAACCAAAAATTCTCTGATATTTGTTACCTACTTCTATGTTAGGCTTAGCCAAAATTCTCTAATGGTGTCCCGAACTCTTCGATCAAACATGTTTTAAATCACTTCGAGAGTTTCTTTCTTGAATGAATGCAGATTTGCTGATCCCCGTAGACTTCGGTACCACCTCTAATTACATGACACTTAAACGCGAAAAAGAAAAATTCATTCGCATTAGCGGATAAGAATTTCTGTTAAAACATTCCACCAGTTAAGGACTTCCTCATTTTTGAATATTTTCTTTTCAGATATATATAGAGAAGAAAGCATTATCCCTGAAATTTCTGAAATTTTCTGGATAAAAAACACGTTCTTTTGACCACATTATCATATGCTGAAATCTTTGAAGTAGAGAGAGAAAAGTATGAGAGAGAAAGGTCAAGATCCATAGACATACAGTTGGATTCGGATATAGTAGCTATCTATAGACATATATATTAGCTACTCTTGTATACTGGCAGTGTTCATGGATTACTTGAGAGAAATAGAAGGCAAAAGTGCTCATGATCCCTTTTCCAACAGGCTTAATCAGACGAAGACGAGAATCTGTGTGTGGATTCCGGGACCGGTAATCGTCGGGGCCGGCCCGTCGGGATTAGCCGTATCAGCTTGTTTGAAAGAAAAAGGTTTGCCAAGTTTGGTTTTAGAGAGATCTAATTGTATAGCATCTTTATGGCAGCAAAAAACTTATGATCGCCTTAGACTTCATTTGCCTAAGCAATTTTGTGAGCTGCCCTTTATGTCATTTCCGGAAGACTTCCCAACATACCCTAGTAAACAACAGTTTATCCAATACTTGGAAGCCTATGCAAAGAAGTTCGACATTAGGCCGGTGTTCAACGCGAATGTAGTGAGTGCCGAGTACGACCAGAGTCTTGGATTCTGGCGAGTATGGACCGTAGGGTCGAAGGACAACGAGATTGATCATGAGTACGTAAGTCGGTGGTTGATCGTGGCGACAGGTGAAAATGCGGAGGAAATGGTCCCACAAATTGAAGGGACTGAGGAGTTTGGAGGGACTATAATCCATACAAGTGGGTATACAAGTGGTGATGCTTTTAGAGGGAAAAGAGTATTGGTCGTCGGCTGTGGAAACTCTGGAATGGAAGTCTGTTTGGATCTATGCAATCATAATGCCTTTCCTTCTCTTGTGGTTAGAGATACAGTAAGAATACCTCTCTCTCTCTCTCTCTCACAGTATAAACAAACATTTTTAGGGTTTGTTTTTTTGGTTCCTTTGAGCTTTTAAATTTCCATTTTAACAAGAAAAGGTTCTACATAATTTCAACTCTCTTAGTTTCAAAATAGACGAGCTGAGATTTTGGAGGATTTTCCTTACAAAATCACTATGTTTTTAAATAAATGCATCTATGCGCATGGAGCTTATAAATGTTTCTTGTACATAACTTCATGCTTAAGCTTTGCTTTTCGTACGAACTTTACCCTTTTTTAGGATTTACATTTTTATTTTTTTCTGAAAAATATGTGAACATGTATATAATCTTTCAATTTGGATTATTATTTTTTAATTAATTCTATTTAAATCGAGAAGAAATTTTGATGCTATTCTTAACTGTTCAAATTTAGGGTTTTATGTCACATAAAATTAATGGGTTATTTTCATGATTGTCCAGTACCCCTTTGCTTATGGAATATAATGGCTCACTAGAGATCACATAATTTTACAAATTTACTCATCATTGTACATTATTTTTGTTGGGTCCTATCTTTTTTATGTAGAACCAACTCGTTTGATATTCCTCGTGGATATTGAATTCACTTTCTTTTTACAAAATCTTAACCACAGTATATATTAAGATTTGAACTCGTTACTTTTGCCATATCATCTAAAAGATTTATTATTGAAGGCATTCGATTTTGTTTTTCATGTGACCGTTTTCGTGTGCTTTGTATTGAAAATACTAGGTGCACATTCTACCACGAGAGATGCTCGGAAAGTCGACTTTCGGGTTGTCAATGTGGCTACTAAAGTGGCTGCCCATGAGCCTTGTAGACAGCCTATTGTTGTTGGTGTCAAGGCTGATAATAGGTGACACAGCTAAATTTGGCATTGAAAGGCCACAAATGGGACCTCTTCAGGTAAAGAACCTGTCTGGAAAGACACCAGTGTTGGATGTTGGAACGCTTGATAAGATCAAAAGTGGAATCATCAAGGTACTGATCAATACTTTGTGTAACCCATGCAAATTGCTAAATAAAATCACTTTTTCTTAGTCAACTTCGTTAACTACAAGTGTTTGTTGTATCCCATGATATAATATCCCTTTTGCAACGATACAAAATTCACTTATTTGAGCAAAGAATCATAGGAAAATGACACTTTTTCATTGTTTTTATAAGCTAATATCCTACATTGTGAATCTCCTTTTCTAATTATAAGTCTTAATTATGATCCCATATAAATATCCTCTTTAACAATTATTACTTATTGCTTTACTAAAAGGGTTTTTAATGGTGAAAAAAAGTTGATCGCCATTTTTGGACAAACAATCAAGAAAAGAAAATCGCCTTTTTATTGTGTTTTAAGTTCCTTTTTTTTTTCCTGGGCATTCTTCTATACATTTTTCATCACAACATGTTGCTAAAAGACAATTAATTCACTCCAGAAATTAATTATATTCTCTATTACTTAATTTACAGGTGTGTCCTGGGATCCGGATAGTAAGGCATCTGTCTGTGGAGTTTGTAAATGGCAATACAGAAAATTTTGATGCAATTATCCTAGCAACTGGTTACAGAAGTAATGTACCATCTTGGCTAAAGGTAACTAAATTTAATGACTTTTTTTTTCTTTGGGTTTTCCTGTTGTTCTGTATTTTTTTACCAATACTCACAAATGTGTGGAACCCACTAAATTAAAAAATGATAAAAAAAACCCACCCCCTCTCTTCTGTAAGTGTAGCAAGGTTCTTTTTCTTTTCATTACTTATTGATTTTGTAAAACTCGTGAAGATTGGATATTATTGAATAACATTAAAAGAGAAGACGATTCTAAAATCTTTTTTATTATATTGTTCTCTTACTTAGTACTGTTTATTAAATATGCATTTTAAGTTCATAGAATTGAAAAAATAAAATAAAATCGTGGGCGCAGTAGTGGATGAGACTTGAGACTACTACTATAAACAAGATTTCACGTCTTTTTCTCATGCCATTCAGTCTTGTCACTAAAGACGCGCTCTAAGTTAAATAATTGTAAAAGGAAATTATGGGTTTTAAGATAAATTATTTTCTTTGCAGGAAAAAGAGATGTTTTCACAGAAAGACGGGCTACCAAAAAGAGCATTTCCAAATGGCTGGAAAGGTGAAAGTGGGCTATATGCAGTGGGATTCACTAAACGCGGCCTTATGGGGGCATCCATGGATGCTAAAAGAATTGCACAACACCTTGAAATTTGCTGGAAATCGGAAGCAAAACAACTTTCTGCTGCCCTAATTTCTGCAGCTTCACACAAATTATAGTGTTTTTTTTGTGCTAGGAATTAGTAGGATTTTGACTAATTGAAGCCAAGAGTGAGGTGGGGTGGACCCCAATCTTCTAACATATAAAATCACAGACAGTTCACAATATTTTCTAACATTTAGGTGTATGATTTTGAATAGTTAGGGTTTTTAACTTCCTTTTTTTCTTTTTTTTTTTTTGAAAGCATTGGATATGAAATATTCTTTTCCTTGACGCATTTTTTTATTAGAGTTCACGATTAATTTTTTATTATGTATTATAGGTTTTTATATACTTTTGTTGTATGTTTAGTGCGTTTTTTATTAGTCCATGTTTGATTGCACCGAATTCCATGAAAAATATCACATCCGAAGAAAACGAATTCCACTTTGACTGTTTAATTGTAATGTGAAAAAGAAAACCGAATTCCAAGATTCAACAACTTTAAGCTGCATTTTCTTTGTTTTAATGGAAAATGAATTTATATTGATTTGGTGGATTTTTATTTTTCAACTAATATGAAATTGAAATTTCTTTTCACATTTGTCTATTAAACGGACCCTATAGTTATTAACTTATTACATCTGTGGTATGTATGTGAAAAACATTCTTAAAAACAAAGAATGGTATATGCCAAGAATGAATAATTTTCTTAAATAAAAATGTAATCCACAATATCCCAGCTGATTGACCGCATTTCAATCTAATTTATTATTACGTAGATTTAGGCATGGTTTGATTTTAATTTTTTTAAAATACAGTTCTCTTTCTCTTCTTTTCAATCACACATTCTTCATTAATTTATTATTTCAAAATACATTCTTAACATTTTAGTGAGGCTCAAACAAGCTCTTGACTTGTAACCAAGTCGGATTTCGGATGAGTTCTCAATTTGTTCAATCTGGCTAATTATAAATACGAAATATAGATTATTATGTACAAAGTAGAATCTCGAAAATGTATGGAAGTGACTTGGAACGATAGAGTAGTTTAATTATAGTGCATTTTTAGATTATTATGTACTAAAATTAGATTTTTAGTAGATTTTGATAAATAAAAAATTGATGAAATGTACGTTAAAAAATTGATATAAATTGTTGATCATATGAAATATGTAGTTAAAAATAAGGAAAAATTGTAGCAATGGTCTCTAACCTTTTTAATTTTTGCAAACTTTACATTACTTTAATTTGTGTCAGCAAATGTCCTAACCTTCCAAAAATATGTATTTGGAGTCCAAATGGATGAAATCCATCAATTTTTCCATTAGTTGACCAAAAAAAATACTCACATATTTTAACTACTTTAAAGTGGCAAAAATGTAATTTTACATTTTCCTATTATAAACAATTAAAATATTACCCACCCACCCACCAAAAACCACACCAAACCAAACCCACATGCCACCTCCAACGAACCCCCGCCAGTATCAACCACCACCAACACCACCAAAACATCCTCAAATCCATCATCCCTTCACCTATACCACACCACAACCATCCCCACCAACAAAGCCACAAATAAGTCACCTGAATCCTTCTCCATTTCGTACCCATTTTTTCATTCAAGAAAAGTCCCCCTGAATTGATAACCTGTCCAAATTCATTTTCACCTAAAATATTCATTCCCTACAGGCCATTAATTTCTTCTAATAAATATACAAACAAAGTGGTCACAAACTTAGAGGCAACTTGTTGAGACTACAGTGAAGATAACAAACAAAGTAGGTGTTGCTGATATAGTAGGAAGAATTCGTTGTAAGACTTAAAAGATGAAAATGGAGTTAATTGTTTCAACGGTCACTAAACTTTATAAAGTGTCACGTTTCACTCACTGAACTTTACGATGCACAGCATCACTCACTGAACTTAGTAAAACTCCACTTCATCGCTCATTGGGTTGATTCCGTCTACACCATTTGCAGACGTGGACGACTGCATTGACATTTGGCCGTTAAATGACTCCAACTCGACAGTGATTGGCCATGTCATTCCCAAACACGTCTCTTCAACGGTCACTGAACTTTACAAAGTATCACATTTTACTCACTTAACTTTACATTGCACCCAATCACTCACTGAACTTAGTAAAATTGTACTCTACCACTCACTGGGCTAATTTCGTTTACACCATTTGCAAACGTGGATGAAGGTGTTGCCATGTGGCTGTTAAATGAATCCATCTCGACAGGGTTTAAGTGAAGTCATATATGCTTCAACACACATGTAGTAGGGATCATTACAATCGTTATTGTAACTACATTTTCATAGTACATCGGTACATTGAGCAATTCAAGGCAGATCCAGAGTGGAAAACGAAAAGTATGCAGGCTACAATAAAGGAGGACTTGAAAATAAATATTACTAAAAATGTAGCTTAGAAGGTGAGAAGATATGCTAAACAATTGATTAACAGGACTATCGAAGAACAATTTGGGTCACTAAGGTCATATGCGGCTGAGGTTTTGAGGACTAATCCAGGATTCATAGTGATAATAGCACTTAGTGGGCAGGTTTTTCAGGTTTTTCAACTGATCATTTTTTTCCATTTCCAGAATTGGTACGAGGGACATTTGGAGCCAATCAATACAGGCAGACACGCTTCGGATGAGAGAAGAAAATGTGTGAGTACTTGTAATGGCTAATGTTTATCATTTCATTTGTGTGCGTGCGTGCATGTGTGTTATGTTTTGTTGGGAATTCATGAAATGGTTCTTCACTATCGAGATGGAGTCATTTAACAGCCACTTGTCAACGCCGTCGTCCACGTCTGCAAACGGTGTAGACGGAATTAGCCCAGTGAGTGATGGAGTAGAGTTTTACTAAGTCAGTGAGTGATTGGGTGCAACGTAAAGTTAAGTAAGTGAAACGTGGCACTTTGTAAAGTTCAGTGATCGTTGAAGAGACGTGTTTGGGGATGACATGACTGATCACGTCGAGTTGGAGTCATTTAACGACCAAATGTCAATGTCGTCGTCCACGTTTGCAAACGGTGTAGACGGAATCAGCCCAATGAGTGATGGAGTGTAGTTTTACTAAGTTCAGTGAGTGATGGTGTGCATCGTAAAGTCCAATGGCCGTTGAAACAATTAACTCGATGAAAGTGAGCCATATAGAAGGATGATCGTGGAGACAATTGAGAAAGTGGTCGCAAACTTGGGGGCATCTGATATCGATGCTCGCTTGGTATAGCTATTAAATGACGAAATTCTCTATGCATTCCAAGAGCAAACAAGTGATGATGATAATATTATGCTAAATGGTTTTGGTGCCGTCGCGAATTCCCTTGGATAGAGAGTGAAGCCATACCTTCCCCTAGATATAATGTACCATAAAATGGTAGCTCAACAACAAAAGTGCAAAACTGAGGCAGGTTGCATCAGATCTGATATCTAGAATTGTTGTGGTGATGAAACAATGTGGAGATAGTGGGATAAATGGAAGAATTGGGGAAGCAGGTGGTGACGACGGCATCAGTAGCTGTAGCCGTGGGTTTGGTTTGGTTTGGTTTTTGGTGGAGTGGAGTGGGGTGGGGTGGGGTGGCGTGGGGGTGGTGGTGACCTATAACATTTTTAAATGGTCACTGAACTTTACAAAGTATCACGTTTCACTCACTTAACTTTACATTGCACCCAATCACTCACTGAATTTAGTAAAATTGTACTCTACCACTCACTGGGCTAATTTCGTTTACACCATTTGCAAACGTGGATGACGGTGTTGACATGTGGATGTTAAATGAATCCATCTCGACAGGGTTTGAGTGAAGTCATATATGCTTCAACACACATGTAGTAGGGATCATTACAATCGTTATTGTAACTACATTTTCATAGTCCATCGGTACATTGAGCAATTCAAGGCAGATCCAGAGTGGAAAACGAAAAGTATGCAGGCTACAATAAAGGAGGACTTGAAAATAAATATTACTAAAAATGTAGCTTGGAAGGTGAGAAGATATGCTAAACAATTGATTAACAGGACTATCGAAGAACAATTTGGGTCACTAAGGTCACATGCGGCTGAGGTTTTGAGGACTAATCCAGGATTCATAGTGATAATAGCACTTAGTGGGCAGGTTTTTCAGGTTTTTCAACTGATCATTTTTTTCCATTTCCAGGACTGGTACGAGAGACATTTGGAGCCAATCGATACAGGCAGACACACTTCGGATGAGAGAAGAAAATGTGTGAGTACTTGTAATGGCTAATGTTTATCATTTCATTTGCGTGCGTGCGTGCATGTGTGTTATGTTTTGTTGGGAATTCATGAAATGGTTCTTCACTATCGAGATGGAGTCATTTAGCAGCCACTTGTCAACGCCGTCGTCCACGTCTGCAAACGGTGTAGACGGAATTAGCCCAGTGAGTGATGGAGTAGAGTTTTACCAAGTCAGTGAGTGATTGGGTGCAACGTAAAGTTAAGTGAGTGAAACGTGGCACTTTGTAAAGTTCAGTGATCGTTGAAGAGACGTGTTTGGGGATGACATGACTGATCACTGTCGAGTTGGAGTCATTTAACGGCCAAATGTCAATGTCGTCGTCCACGTCTGCAAACGGTGTAGACGGAATCAGCCCAATGAGTGATGGAGAGTAGTTTTACTAAGTTCAGTGAGTGATGGTGTGCATCGTAAAGTCCAATGACCGTTGAAACAATTAACTCGATGAAAGTGAGCCATATAGAAGGATGATCGTGGAGACAATTGAGAAAGTGGTCGCAAACTTGGGGGCATCTGATATCGATGCTCGCTTGGTATAGCTATTAAATGACGAAATTCTCTATGCATTCCAAGAGCAAACAAGTGATGATGATAATATTATGCTAAATGGTTTTGGTGCCGTCGCGAATTCCCTTGGATAGAGAGTGAAGCCATACCTTCCCCTAGATATAATGTACCATAAAATGGTAGCTCAACAACAAAAGTGCAAAAGTGAGGCAGGTTGCATAAGATCTGATATCTAGAATTGTTGTGGTGATGAAACAATGTGGAGATAGTGGGATAAATGGAAGAATTGGGGAAG